CCCTCTGTAGAGCCTTCCTACCCTCCAGCAGATCGACACTCACGCCCAGCCTGGTGTGGTCTGCAAACTGACTGAGGGGCGCATTCGATCCCCTTGTCCAGATCACTGATAAAGATATGAAACAGAACTGGCCCCAATACCTGGGGACCACCACTTGTGACCAGCCACCAACTGAATTTAACTCCATTCACCACAACTCTTTTGTGCCCGGCCATCCAGCCAGTTTTTTTCCCAGCGAAGAGTACACCTCCACAAGCGTACATAGCTACTGTGTATGGCTTGTTTGTGCAGCAATACCTGTACTGATGTTACAAGCCTCTGAAAATGAGTGATGCAAGAGCATGTAATTATAGGTAGATCAAATTTATTTACACTATAGGGGAATAAAGGTTTATTAAGTTTGTTGATCCCCCACCAATTGGTATTTATGACTGTTTAGAAGTATGCTTTAAGAGAGGTCTCATTTAGCATAAATGAACATCAAAATGCTGCACAAAACCATAAGAAATATTCTAAGTTCTCTCGCAAACAAGACAGGACTATCATACAAAGTAAAAACTTAAAGATATTCCAGTCTATCAATTTCTACTGATGAGAACTGCATATTCAGAGAATAAAGTTACCTAAACCAAGCCTCTGAATTTCACTGTCACATATGAAGAGCACCAAGACCTCTTACAAATAAAAATACTTAGCAGTTTTTATTTGCTAATTGCAAAGTTAACTTTTATGATAGTCCATTCAATTCACATACAGCTTCTCTGACAGTCACCTGCGACTTTAATACAGCAATGTAAGAGCTTCCCCAATGGGCTAATCTACTAAGCCTTTATTACTTTTACTGTATATCTCTTCCTTACATGAAGTGGAATACAAATGCATACATATTTTGCATCCATGCCACAGAACATGCTGTTCTTGCATTCCCTGGACTATTCCAATTCCTCCCACTGCTTTCTTCCCAACTTCTAACCAAGCAGTTCTCTTCCCATTCCATGAGTTTTCCTCCTTACCTCAGACCCAGGTCTTTCTTCACATAGTTTCATCTAGTCCTCCATCTTCACAGTCATGGGTTCCACTTGAAATCTTCCAGCGGCTTCGTCTTTCCAACATGCAGTACCATTTCTGAAGCTGTAGAGACAGACTGCTATAGATACTAACGCACAGACTGTGGTGCTTCTCTCCTAACGTAACTATCAGTGAGTATGTTATCTCAGTCCCACTCTCATGAGAGGAAACCACAAGCATTACGCAGGAGCAGGAAGCAGATCTAATCAGGACTTGTCATTGTGTATTCCTGACTCAATATTTTATTTCCACAACTATAGAGTTAAATAAGTGTTAGACAATATTAAACAAAGTTTTTAACTTTAATATTCAAATTCAACACTAGTAAGAACAAATAGAGCACAAATGGGAAACATTGTTTAAACTAAAATTAATGAAGAGATAAGCCAGTAATTAGAACAGTTCTATTTTTTAGCAACATCTGTCAGCCTATGTCCAACATCAGTACAGGTTCTGACAGCCACATTCTGTTCATTTTGGAACTTAAAACTGAATACCTAAGGTTTGCCTGTTGGCACCTCAGACTGCAGTTTCGGTATAGTATACTGTAAGTACGATCAAATTTATGTACATAAACAATTAAGAACAACCTGAACACTTACACTAAACAATTATTTACAAGTATTCCAACATTAAAAAAAAAATACAATAGCCTCAAGAATGGACAACTGAAGAGAATACCAACATTTAGAGAACCTTATTAGAAAGAACTACAAAACATCAATAGCCAAGACATTAACAATTGCACTACACTAATACAGAGTCCAAATATTAAATTGGTGCATTATTTCACAATGCACTAGCTTCAAGAGAAAAATGCTGCCTTCACTAAAATGCAGCTTAGATTTGTTTCACGTAATTGTTTTAACAAGAAGCCTATTAACACAATAATGATTGTTTTAATGCTACAGTTTACAGCGAGGACAACAAACTAAAAATAGCAGCAGTTCCACATGGCACTTAATTCCACAGGTTTCTAAGCTGTGGTTTATGCAATGCCTACAAAGTGCTCCCAGTTGAATATACAAATAAAATTCACAATAAAGGTCTACCTGGCATCAGGTACATTGAGTGTAGGTGGCCTTAAAGCCTGTCTTTCAAAATTTATTCCCCTCTGCTCCAAAAAAAAAAAATCAGTAACTGTCAAAGCAAGGCCCCCTCCCTCCGTCTTAAAGATCATTAGGGATATTACTTCTTATTACAATGCCGTAACACTACAAAGCAGCACACCACTATAGTGGTTAACCCTGGGACGATGTAACATCTAACAGTGTAACTGAAAGGCTTATGGATTAACATCCAGGATCCTCCATAGACAAGATAGTAACGGAGTCCATTAACTCAAATGGTTAATACAGCTAATCAGCCGTATTGTACAAGTAAAAACCCAGAAGCAATTCCTGTAAAACTTGTGACACTGACACAGGACGAGAAACCAGGAATTGAATGCTTTCAATTCCTTAGGCTTCAGTCTGGCAGAGATGCTATAGCCATCCTCAGTAGTTCGTTTAGACTTCATAGTTAGTATATAGTAAGACTAACTGAGCGGTTCATTTTCTTTCCAATGAGTCGAGATGGTCTGTTTTGTGTCGTAGATCTAGTTGTCATTCTGTCAGTGAACAGTGCTCGCTCCTCAGCTGCGGCCTTTGCCATCTGTGCCTTCTTCAGCTCTCTGCAAGACATCAAGAGAGTCATGCTTATGCAAGGGTATCAGTAAGGACTACAGGCATATCACAGCAAAAGCGTTTCAAATGAATTACAGCGGTTCGGAACTTAAGACTTGCCGTCAATTTAGGTCACTAAGACCATTATCACTCACGCCCACCTGTTTACAACCCAGAGGACAGTGATGTTCATTACTTGTCCAGATGTTCTCTCTTTTGAACAACAAGGGAAGGAAATGACAAATTCACACAACTCGGTCAGATTTTGAAATCCAGCCTTTTATAAGCAGCTCCACACATCAATTACCAGAACACAGTAGGATGCTGTTTACTTTGTAGTACAAGCCATATGATAAATCACTGAAGAGCTAGTTACTGAGGTTTGCCCAAGTGAGGCATTCATCCACAACTGAACTTCTGCAGAAGATTCAGACAGACACACGCTTAGGTGAACATAGATGAACGTAACTAGCAAAAGACAACTCGGGAACCATCCTTTTCCTTTTGCATACCCACGTCAAAAGCTTATCACCACCTAAATCTTTTTTGCCCAACATAAAAATTTGAGCCCCAAACCGCAAGGCTGAGTCACTGAAGGTAGCACAGACCACTGTCCCTGTGCAACATTCTGTCAACTATTCTGTTTCAGAGAATTACCAATACTCAGTCTGAGGATGAAGTTAAATAAAAAACTCAGGATAAAACTATGAAATAGTCTGTCTAAAGAACAAAGTTACCTTTATCAAGGGTTTCCCCACACACCCCTTTTCTCCTTTCCTTAAATGCTGACATACGGCTAAGTGTAAGGATTCCCCCCCATACTCTTTTCCTTCCCCTATCCCAAACTATCCCTCAAAGAGTTTTCTCTACCGTAAGAACTAGCATTTGTAATCTCACTTCACCTCTGGACTCCAAAGCAAATTTTACAAGCTTGCTGCATTATTGGTGTAGGTGTATTTAGTTTTAAGTTACATGTGTTAGTTTAATAAGCTACTCCCATTCTTGTAAGCCAGAGTATTACTCATTAACACCCATGCCCCATCTAATCCTCCCCACATTATCACTGTGTCAGTTCACTGCAAGAGAATGCAATCAATTTTTAGTCATCTTCCCTAACAACTGAATGTCAGTCACAAATGCACACACACGTATGCACCCACCCACCGCACCATTACCAGGAAATTAATTTTTATAATGTACTTCCATTCTTCCCTAGAAGTCTAATCTTGAATTCTTCCTTCCTCTGAAGGAGACAACACAGTAGAAGAGCTGACCTTCCTTACAAGGATTCCTTTCACGGATGATAACTTACATACACAAGTGGTATCTTAAATGGGTCAAATGCAGGAGCGTTAAAAAAAACAAAATAAAACAAAATAAACGAAGAATACCTACCTGAACTATTTTATGGAACACCATCCCATGCAATGTTAAAAATTACTGTGGATAAGTGTTCTTTTTAAATCATTCTTGGATTTACAGTTATTTTATAAAGATGTACCCTACTTGTTGCCAGGCCAGAAGTAGTCTTCACAAATATTAGCTTTGCCAACTTCCCCTTTCACATGATAAAAAAAAATGTTGTCTTTATACAAGCAAGCAAGTCACCTCAGCAAATCTGTCCTGGAATAATCTGCACAAACTGTCCAATTATTCTTTCTGCAATCAGTGCAATTCGTAAGATTATAAAGATAACCATCTAAAATGGCAAGTCTGGCTGCATTCAGACTGTAGCAATGGCAAGATAAGCAGATAGCAACGGAGAGAATCCAAACGTGAAGTCAACAACTTCATTCAAAATGAGCCAGTCAGAAAGTACTCTGGTACTTTGGTGTTCCATATTCCCCCATAAAAGCCTGCCTATAATATGTGTAAAGTTACCTGCAGTGAAAGATTCAGATGATTGCTTCTTAACTTACTAACTCTTTCTCTGAAACTTACGCAGAAATCAGACTTTCCTAAAGGGAATCTCTTCTTCAAAGCTTTAATCCAGAGTTGAGTGTTTGAACAAAGGGTAGGACAAGATGACCTCCCAATACAAATGGTTCTCTGGTAACCTACTAACACTGCTGTGTAAAAGTCAAATTAGTCCAAAAACATTCCTTATGTGCCATTTCATCTAAGTTCAAAACAGCTCATTTAAGTCACATTTACCAACATGTTTCAATGTACAGATGACCCAGGGAAGACACAGACTCAAATAATATAGATGTAAGCTACACTATACAAATCACAAAAGTATGCGTTATGCTTGAAACTTTTTTTTTAAAAAAACTGTCATGTTTTGTATGCCTTGAATACTAATAGCGTACTTGACAATCCCTTAGAGTGTTCAAGAAGTTCCTTCTATGGGGAAAGCTCCTTTTAAAGTTGCATAACCCACTTTGTACTCTCATGTATGTACATGCATACAGATTTGTGGACCTCATGCAGAAACAAGGACAGTCCCGTTTTATCATCACTCTACTATCATATGAAAACCCATTAGAAATTAAGTTATATTTAAGGACCCCAAGGAACTACTTACTTCTGCAAGAGCGAGTTTTTGAATTTTTCAGCATTCAGTTCTATCCGGAGCTGCTCTGCACTCTTTTTTGCAGCAGAGAGAAGCACTGAATGCTTGACTAGTGCCACAGCTGAAGGCCTTTTCTCTGGATCAGGATTAATCATAACCTTAGAAGAAAGAAAATAAGGCATTCTAGTTGAGGCCAGTAATACAGTAAATTACAGTAACCAGTAAGCCACTGGTACGAGAGTTCTTACTTTTAGTAAGTCTAGTAATTCTTGAGAAAGCACTTGTGGTATTCTAGGTAGTTTTCCTTGTCGAATTTCATGCCATTGGTCCCCATTAGTCGGAAGTGGTTCAGCCCCAGCAGCACAGACAACAGTCAGAGCAAGAGCAAAAATATCCGCTTTTGGCAAATGAGTGTAGTTCTTGAAAAAATAAAGAAAAATAAAGAAAAATAAATTTACTACACATGCCAACCAGTGTAAGAAGAAATCTAACAGACAGCTAAACTATTCAGCACTGCACACATCCACAATATTACATTCCCCTTTAAGTATTACCACTGTTCAAGAGAATACCATTTAGGAAGTTTCTGCTCCAGCAAGGAGGCAGCAGACAGCAACTCATTACTCTAAAGAAAACAGCATACAGACCTAACATCACTGTTTTCCACAAACAGAACAGTTACCTCTTGTAGGACTTCATTTGCAAGAAAACGGCTATCACCTTCCTCCACTTGCGGACTAGATACTCGAGTTACATGACCAAGGTCACCTGCAAAAAGAAAAGAAAGTTATTTTTCAGAAGACAAATAGACAATGCAATTCTTTTGAGCACAAGTATGCTGCTTCTCACCTATTTTAAATATGACTCTATCAGACGACCAGTCATCATCATCACCTTCTTCTGAAGTTGTACTCGGGACTGATGTCCTAGATATGAAAATATTACCTGAAAAAGAGCAGAATTATTAAAAAAAACCCAAAAAAACCACAACCAAAAAAACCCAAACAAACTTCTGTCCAATTTCTACTTCATCTAGTTTCACTACCATTTGCTTTAGCCAAACAGAAGTTGTATACATACCCAGTTCCTAGAGCAAGAAACTATGACTTACTCTGGCCCCTCTGCTGGGAAGGGAGCCAAGTGTTATGCAAGTAGAGTCAATTACAAAAAACAGGACCCAAGATAAACTCAACAACAGTTTACCTTTGCTAGCCAATTTTGTAACTGACATCTTTGTACTCCTATTTAGAACTTCAGTGAAGAACTTAAGAGTTAGTAAGGTGTGGCTAACTGCTAATTTTTCTACAGCAGATTAAGTTAACTGAGGAAATTGTCAATACAGAGTAAAGCAGTTTACAAACTTACTAGGTTTGATATCCATGTGTACCAGTGACATCGAATGAATGTACTTTAAACCTCGAGCCACCTGAAGTAGCAGGTCCTTCAGTTCTGGTTCAGTAAAGTAACGCATATTCCTGTAATTTTCACTTATGGCATCTGCTAAACTGCCACCTAAAACAACATTAAAGAAAACAACTAATTATTTTACATCAAACAGTTGTCAAAGTAATGACAACTTGCTTCCAAAAGCAAGTACAACTGGCTTCCAGAATTAACAGTGAATATATCACCAAGAACTTGCTGATGATCATAGAATGGTTTGGGTTGGAAGGGACCTTTAGAGGTCATCTAGCCCACCCGGCCCCTGCAGTGAGCAGGGACAGCTTTAACTACATCAGGTTGCTCAGAGCCCCGTCCAACCTGACCTTGAGTGTTTCTAGGGATGGGGCCTCCACTGCCTCTCTGGGCAACCTGCTCCAATGCTTGACCACCCTCACTGTAAAAAATTTCTTCCTTATATCCAGTCTAAATCTGTTCTTCTTTAGTTTAAATCCATTATTCCTTGTCCTGTCACAACAGGCCTTGCTAAAAAGATTGCCCCTGTCTTTCCTATAGGCCCCCTTTAAGTACTGAAAGGCCGCAATAAGGTCTCCTCGCAGCCTTCTCTTCTCCAGGCTGAACAGCCCCAACTCTCTCAGCCTGGCCTCATAGGAGAGGTGCTCCAGCCCTCGGATCATATTTGTGGCCCTCTTCTGGACCTGCTCCCACAATTCTATGTCCTTCTCGTGCTGAGGGCTCCAGAGCTGGATGCAGTACTCCAGGTGAGGTCTCACCAGAGCAGAGCAGAGGGGCAGAATCACCTCCCTTGACCTGCTGGCCATGCTTCTTTTGATGCAGCCCAGGATATGGTTGGCTTTCTGGGCTGCAAGCACACATTGTTGGCTCACGTCCAGCTTTTCATCAATGTGCGCTTGCAGCCCAGAAAGCCAACCGTAGGATTGATATGTATCCTATGATACACAGAAAGTGTAAAATCTAGTGCTGTATCCCCTCTTTGTAGCCATGTAATATAATGAAATTATTTTTCTGCTGTAGTCTGTGCAAATTACAGGATACCAACACAAGGAAAAATACCTCCCTCTCTCTTCCAAATCTCTGGCAGGGTATCAACCATAGCAAAAAGCTTCAGAAATCAGGTCCACCTCCCTTTTTAAAGGAAACTCTCTGGTAATTTTCTCTATTCCAGCTTGTACTATTGTACAGAAGAAAGAACAGTTTTGCTGCTCACAAATGCTTCACTGTACTTCCAATGTTCCTGAACATGTAAGACACTCCCTGCAATTTTGTATAGTTTTTGCTTCATATATCTGATATGCCTTTTCCAACAAAAGGGAACATCAGACACGTTTGAGACAAAGACAACGATGGTATGAGCTATGTGTAGGGCAACCAATTCCTAACGAGTGCTAGGGCTCTGTAGACATACCTGTGTATCTCCAAAAATTAGATTTTTTGAAAGCAAGTTCAGAACAAGCCATAAACTTTACTTACCATTGCAATATTCATTCTGTATAAGCATATGATCGTCTTCTGCCCATGCAGAGTAATATCTTACTACATGAGAATGCTGTCCCAGAACTGCATGTGCATAGACCTCTCTTAAAGCATTTTGCCTGTTAGAGTCACAAAAAGTAACAGCACACAAGAATATTGAGGTGAAATTAGTCGAGTTTCAGCTTGATAGAAACACTTATTACAGTATCATGCCCCTCTGCCAGCTCAGGTTTCTAATTAAAGTCTTCATAATGAGTTCTGTGGCACCTTAAGGTGGATTTATATTTATATCCAAACAGCTAAAATAATTCACATTGTATTAAAAGACTTAAGTATATAGAACATCAAAAATCAGGTTTTGTTGTAGATAATTCGTGAGGGAGCTGCCACTTCCATTACACACTTTCCAACCAGCAGCAAGCTTTGAGAAACATCATTCAAGTTTTAGGAAAAAACTAATGATGATCATAAGCCAGGAGTATGACTGAACTCATCCTAACTTCTTATGTGTAAAGTAAGTCTGGTATGCAATTTTGAGCAACTCAGACTTGTGGAGTTTTATATTATAACTATTAGAACAGTGGGGGGGAAAAAAAGTCATGAATCGCAGGCTCATTCACAAATGCCAAAAAATACCCCAAAACTGACTTAAGTAATCTGCACGTCACTCAAGTTGACAAGGATGAGGACCTAATGGGGAACATTGCTTTCCTTTCATATCTCAAAGGATCATCACTGCAGTTTATTCCTACAGCCCCTCCTGCCATTAATGCAAGTAAGCATTATTCCTACTTTCCAGATGAGAACAATCTGTTTCCACACAGACTATTGGGACAAATGCCTGCTAGGAGAAAGGCCAAGTAGCCTTTCCTCCCCAGTACTGCAGTTTTCAGAAAAAAATAAAAGATGTAAAGTGACTTCAAAATTTTATCTAGTTTACATTAAATTCATGTATATTTATACTTTTCTCTTAAATGCCTTCTCTAGACACCAATACAAAGAGACATGGGAGGAAAAAGCACCAAGAGGTGACTTCTAATAGGAAGAAATACTCACTCATCCACTGAGCCAGCTAAGGGTTTCTTGGATCGCTTTATTGCATAGATACAGCCGTCAAGCCTCTTTACACATTTAAACACAGAACCAAATTCACCAGATCCAATCTTCTCCAACTCATGAAATTCGGTTGCATACCGTGACTTCATATTACTTTCTGTTATTGTTATCCTCTGCAAAGATTAGAAAGGAAGATACTTAGATCTGCAGATACACAAACTGCCAAACTTAGTATCAAGTTCTAAAGATTTAATTACCTTAGCAGGTCTGATTGTTTCATCTTCAGGCTCTCCATCACTTGCATCCATGTCCTCTCCACAAGAGCTGAAATTCACACCAGTTACTTTTGCAGAAGTAATATGGCTTAAGTAAACTTAAAACTGAAGTCTAGCAGCTGTTGATTTTTCTGAGATCTAATTCTCCCATTCTACCCAAGTTTAGTTTAACTAATTGAACGCTAGACATTTGTAAGCCCAAACTCATCAAATGAAGGTACCACGCTAAAATCTTTGTCATTTCTTTCTTCATGTTTCGTACTAGTATTTAATGTGGTTTTCCCTTCTCAAGAAAAGACTGTGTGCATAGCTCATTCAGTCAGGTAAAAAGACTGTAGGACACAGCCTAGTCTATCCTCTCTGTATACTCATCAAAAGATCTGGTGCTAAATGGTTATTTCATAATATCATGCAGATACTTTAAGAGCTATATTATGCATTACTAACAGATTTGCAAGGAAAAATACTTTCACAGAAGCAATTTGTAACAAAACTTTTGCAGATAAAAGTAGTTCTAAAGATAAGCTTAACAAAGGAAGATGCAAGTTACTCACTCATTCCAGTGCGTTCTCTTTCTCCTACGACATTTTCCTTCGGAGTTGTGAAGGAACATGGAATCAGGAGTGAAGGGATTAATGTTCACATGAGGTGTTTGTCTAATATCTTCTTCTTGCTTCTCCAATTTCCCAACATTCATAAATAGAGAGCCCCCTCGAAGTTTGACTGAGCTGGAACCTATTCCTTGTGCTTTAGAGAGCAAACTCTATTTATTAAAAAAAAAGAAGAAGAAGAAGAAGAAAAGACATTTATAGCCTCAATATTGCTTTAGACACAGTCAGGTCATGCTTGAAAGCCATCATTACTGTACTGTGTAATCAAAGTTAGCATGAGTTGTTCAAAATACCTGCATTTCCACCAAAAAGAATTCCAAAGAAACTACTGGGCTTTACACTCTACACAAAAACAGTTAAAGAAAACACTGAATGTTAAAGTAATTTTTAATAGGCAGGAAAGGTTATGAGAGCAGTGTTTTTCTGTCTTTAATCATGTCATCACCTAAACTTCTTGGACAATTCTTTGTCCATGAAACGAACACATCTGAAACTCACAGACCATCCTGGGCTATTATCACCATCATTTTCACATGCAAGATATGGAAGTTAGATCAGACATAGGAAGTTATCTTCGGTGACTACAAATTTAGGTGGCAAGCTAAAAAGAAAAAGTAAATAAAAGATTTGATGCTGATGTACAGATGCCTCTTCATAAGCCTACAAAGAATTGCTCAAGAATTGACAGTACTGTTGCACCCTCAGTTTAATATCCAAAACAGATCTTTTGGGTACTAATTTGTCAGACCAGGTATTTTCCAGGCACATGACGAAGCCTCTCCCAGTCAGATAGGGAAGTTTGCACCTGAGTCTCCTGCATCCTGGTGAGGATGCCAACCACTGACCTACTGGATCACAAGCAGGAGTATTGCCTTATCCTAGCAAGGCCTTACAAAATAAAGACTTGACATAACTAAAGCCTAAACCACCATAGGGAAGAAGGCTGATACTTGGGAATCTCAACTGCACTCCCCAAATCTGGACTAGATGAAGACCTTTAAGTAACTGCGCGTCTCAACACACATTTCAATACTTCCACTGGATACCTTAACCAACTGATTCTTCCAGATTCCAAAGACAACCTCTCCAAGATAACCCATGTAGAATTTGGGCACCTAATTTAAGACTGCCACTGAACTGCTGTGGTAAAACCTTGGTTTTAGTGTCACAATCCACAAGACTCTTGCATTTCTGAAGCATCTGCTCCTGACTCAGTACAAGATCATCACTAATTTTGCTATTTCCAAAGACGTACCACTGACTTCTACCAGTGAAACCTCATTTGAGATGGAAGCTGTAGAAAACCAATTAACAAGGTTGCCTTCCTTGCACCTTAAGTCAGTTGTTTTCAATCTATAGTCTATAGACCCCTGGGAGATTATCCCCGGGGATTATCCCTGGATTAATTCTGAAGGAGTATGAAAAGTAATGAAGAAAGCAAGCCTATTATCACTAGATTTAAATTCACTATACGGTGTTTTACATGAGCGTTGAGTTCAAAAGTTGAAATGCCTTGCAAACGTCTGTTATTGACAGAGTTAAGAGCTACCTATCCCTTTAAGCTTTCAAATCCATCAGTTTAACAGCATCTGCTACTCAAACAGCTTTTTGCATTTGATGCGAGAAGAGCGCAGACGCTGACCTTGCACTGGCATACAGCACAACAACGGCAGTACTCAAGCAAGACGTACTAATTTATTGACAGACACGCAGGAGCGAATTGCGATTCAAGCTTTAACTTTCTGGTTATGAAAGTACAAATGCCCACGCGACACTAAAATACTTCGAGAGTTTAATATTCTCCTTTCACCTTTTTAAAAGCCTTTTCCACAAAACGTAGCAAAAGCAGGGTACTTACATATGTATAAATAACATACATGAAAATGTAACAACGTATTTACCAATACATACGACAGATATACACAGAAGGGGGACCGTCCCACGCCCCCAGCCACCCCGCGAG